ATTTTTATAAAGTTCTATTGAACAATTTTGGATGTTTGGCTCCAGAAGTCTGTTAGCTTTTTTATATGTATGTTTCCTGTAGTTACTTTTTTTTACTGTTTTTGTAAAAAGCTTAATGTATTTTGATCTGTATTAAAATACTAAATGATTAGTGTTGTATAAAATACAATTAGAATTACATTTAAAAACCAAACAACGATTGTAAAAACAGCGTTCTGCATGTTTCAATGTTGTTTATGTCATCCTCAGGAGTATGGAAAAACAAATGCTGTGCAATGTATCAATACGAAAAAGCCATGGTGATTACTAGTTTACACATTTAAAAAAAATCACACCATTTACTTACTTTCTGGTTTTCTAACCTTTCATTTTTATTTAAGATGAAACTATTTTCACTATGCTTCAATATTTTTATGGTTTCTGTAATATTTCTAACCATTATATTATTTGGTTGAGCCAAATTAACCGGTTTTTCTCACTGGATAACATGACTACTATAATTTGCATGTTCAGCTAGTGCAGAGTTTTCACTTTTGTTTTTAACATTTCTCATGTTCATTTATTCTAAATTTTAAATTTCTGTTAGTTTGACCAATATAAACACAACCACATTCACATTCAGTTTTATATATTTATATGTTGTACCAGATATGTTTTTCACACACTTGTGGATGACATGAATGATGTCGAAACTTGGAGTGCTGTTTTTATAACCATTGATCAATTTTTAAATAAAATTTTAATTGTACATTATATAATGTTGATTGTTGAGTATTTCAATATATTTTAAATTATAAATTAACTTAAATTATATCTGTATCAATCCATGCTCTGTAATATTCACTGAATAACTTCATTGCTTGATACAAGTAAATATTGACAGACTTAGATAGAAATATTGTTTTAAACAACTTCCACCTACATTTCCCACATTTTTAATTTAGTAGTGATCTATTTATCTATTCTTTCTTGCATAGGTTTCAACTGGAGGGAGGATTACTGTTATGCAGACACGTATACCAAATATTGGACCAGGAGCTCTAAAACCCAGAGAAGATCCAAATCAACGAGCAGCCAAAGTTAGTTGTTAATCTATTTATTACAGTTTTAGTTCCTTGTGATCTGAAACATCCTGCACAACAGTTTTTGTTACTTTTGTGTATTAAAAACAGAACAGTAAAGTATACTCTACGAACATAAAAAAATAAAACATAGCTTTGAATTTTCTGTTTTATTTTTTACCCTACATGCATGTGGTTTGTCGATTGGACTGTGCCATTATTGGAGAACTAATATTTACTATAATTCTAAATTTATTGAGTATCGTCAGTTTGACTGACCTCCCAACCACCAACAAAAAAAAAAAAAGTAAATGTATATTACCCTTCTTTTTTTCCTCAAATGACTAAATATTGTAACAGAAAACTAGTTATTTATCCAAAATAGCCTCAGGCTTGTAACAGTTTATATCCATTTTCATTTAATATTATTATTTTATTGAACTGTGTGTAACTACTAAATTTGTATAACAAAGCTATAAAGCACAAGTTATGGTAAAAATACTATTCAATTATGTAATTTCTGAGTAATGTGAGTGTGTGTGTATCTCCTTGAGAATTTTTTTTTTCTCATTTATGTTTTATGTAACTTAATAAATTTATAATTTTTTACATTTTAGCTACTTTTGTAACTAAATAGAAAATATACACATAAGAACAAAATTTATTACGTATGTCTGTCCTCTTGTTTTTTTTCTCTCTCAGCTACATATGAAACTTAGCCCCCTTTTTTGTAATGATGGTGATAGTATTACACAATATTAAGACAAAAATACAGCAACCAAAATCTATTATAATATAATTGGCATTCTAGCCAAGCTATAAGTGAATGAAGATAATTTGCCTAACTTGTCAAGTTGACCTCTGTTATAGTTAACTATGAAATGGATGCAGAGTAACTAGACTTATACAGAAATCAGTAAGTCTTCTATTTCTGTTTGTTTTAAATGTTGACAGGAGGGTGTGGCATGTGGGTTTGACTTTCTGGTTTATATCTATAAACTAAGAAGATTGGAGGCAATAAAATGAGATTGTCATATCAGTATCTATACTATAAATGTATAATTTATGTTAAACTTAGGACATCATATAAGGGTAGTAAGAATATTTAAAATGGGTAATTCAGAGCAAAAAAGTGTCTTGGTACAGAAAAGTAAAGATTGAGGATTTTTTTAATATTTTCTTTTGAAATTAAGAAATTAAAACTTTATAATATCAGAAGATTATTTATTGTCTACATTTTGATGTCAAGTTTTTGATATACATTGATAATAAAGTAAAGTAGTCTAATTAAATGTTGAATATAACTTTGTGAAAAGTCTTGACACTCTTTGACCCTTGCCCCCCAGTGGCACAGCGGTATGTCTGCGGACTTACAACGCTAGAAACCGGGTTTCGATACCCGTGGTGGGCAGAGCACAGATAGCCCTTGTGTAGCTTTGTGCATAATTAAAAACAAACAAACAATCTTTGACCCTCACTTGTGGACATACAGTTAATTCTGTTGAATTGAATAATTTTAAGATCATTTATATACCTTCAAAAATAGGAATATATTGTAATAAGGATTTCAAAACTAAATATTTAAAAACAAGCATCCTGCATATGCCAGTAGATGTATTACTTGAAAGATGCATGCTACCAAATTTAATGCTTTTCAGGACAGTCTGTACAGTTGTCCAATATACAGAATTATATTTCATTGTAAATTGCATATCTTAATTGGTTCATTATTAGTATATGCCTGTGGGATTTAATGTAACATACTCGACAGACATTCTTGAATAGAAGAAATATCAAGAGTACAGTGAATTATATTCATTATTATAAGTGCCTGACATTAATAAACTGCAGGTCTAGGTTTCAAAAGCCTTTCTGTTTTCAGGATGTTACTAACCTTGGGCCTGCCACAGATTTCTACAAACAACTAGCATTGGACTGCTCAGGTCAGCAGATAGCTGTGGATCTGTTTTTGCTAAGTTCTCAGTATGCGGACCTAGCAACTCTGTGTAAGTATCACGTGACAAACTAGGAACACCGGGTATTGAAAAGTTACAGAGTAACTATGTACGTGTGTCTTGAAGCAACTCTCTTAAGGCTTGACTTTACCTAGGAACACAGAGTATTAAAAAATTACTTAGCAAATCTGGGTAGTTGTAACTTTTGAACATGAGTAATGTTTTTTTGTTTATATCATTATCTGTATTACAAATAATGTTTCTATTGATTTCATACTGTGTGAAACCCATCAGGGAGTCTGATAAATGTCTCATTAACCAAACATTTTGTTTTTGCTTGTATGTGTATTTCTAGTTTCAAAATAAGTTTCACCTGCTGTGATGTTATAGGTGTAGTGACTGTTCATCCTTGTATGATAGTTGATAGGAAAACATTGGCATTATTTATAAAATAACTAAATTTAATAATTACTTACAAATGATAATTTCTTTTTTTTTACATTTTAGAAATACATTATTGCTTCCATACAGATGCAACAATGATTCCAGACACTAAAACAATGTCACAAGGTTTAGTTTCCCAAATCCCTCAGTGGCACAGCGGTATGTCTGTGGACTTACGACGTTAGAAACCGTGTTCCAATACCTGTGGTTGGCTGAGTGCAGATAACACATTGTGTCTAACTTCAAATAACAACATAGACCTACATTTTTGATGAAACTAGTAGAAATGAGTACAAGTAGGATTGATTTCCAGCCACAACACCTCGCTGCACACTTAAAAAAAACTTGAACTATTCTCCATAAATGTTAATTTTATGAACCATGGAAAAAAATTAAGTGATGTTTCTTGTTGTTTATAAAGCACAGGATAGTAAGAAGAATGATTTAAAGGAAATTATGAAAATAGCAGGGGAACACTTAAAAGAAATTATTGCAATCGTTGATTTTATGAATATAAATGAAATATGTGGTAATTTACAAATTTTTATGTTAAACATTTACCCTACCAGGCTAAATTATCTGTTTACATATCTTGGCTATGATCCTGGTAGTGGGAAGTATCCTCCTCTGATTCATTCTCAAACAGTTTGGAGATTTCTTCAGTCTCAGGTTCATTGATTAAACATTTAGTTAATGGTTGAAGCTGTTCAGTTGAACCTAGACTCTGGGTGTACACAGCTCATCACCGGTGTATTCTAAATTTGGGCATTGTCTCATTAAATCTTGGGATTTTCCACCAATTTCCATAAACTGAAATAAAAGTTTTTTACCCCAGCCCTATTCTAAGTATGCTGTTATAACAATGTTTTTTGTGACATTTAATGAACAGAAAAAAGAAAATTTATGACTGGTATGTTTTAATGCTTGAACTTACATAGAAATATAGAGTATTACAAAATTCATAGTGACTGCATGTCACCCTCTTCTCGCTACCTAGCAGACTTTGGTATAACAAACATTCCTAGAAACTTGTTTAACAAATGTCAAACTATTACTCCCTGTACATTCATATTCAAAGCCGATTTCAAACCTACAGTATTTCTTATAACTGGGTGGTCAGTGGCTCTTGTAATATTCATGGAGTCATCACAATGACATAATACAGTTAAGAGACAAATAATATCTTTATCAAGGAAATTTTTTTATTAATTTTTATGAATTACAATTTCATTTATATATTTAATCATTCATGAACTATATATCTTTTATTAATAATGTCCCACAGTGGGACGGAGTTAAGTTTATGTATTACAACACTAAAATCAAGTGTTTGATTCCCTGTAAAAAACAAACTAAGCTACTGGATATATATTTTTTCTTCTCATTTTTAGATGCACTATTGAACTGCTGAACATTAAATTAATTAGCAATAAACTAATGGTTTTGTAAGATCGTTATGTGTTTGAAAATGTACTAACATTCTTTATTCTGAATATCCACACTGAATGTTTGCTTTAGAAAAAATTGCACCCTTTGTTTTTAAAGCAACCATTTAAGGTTTTTTGTAAGCTAGCAAGTAAATTATGTAGCTTTTCATGGTCTGCATGTTTAGTTTAGCTTCTGTTTCCTCAAAGTAGTTGTTGCTATAAACCTATCAGTCTTTACTATTACTTAACCAAATTATTCTAAATACTCACAGATGTTGGACAAATAAGAGAATGCAGAATGTAAAGGGACATTTTATATGAAGAACAAAGATATTTGAAGAAGCTCAAAAGTATTTAATGAAATGTTTTGTTTTTCAGCTTGTGTATCTAAGATCTCTGCTGGCTGTATTCACTATTATCCAAATTTCCATGTCACAATGAATAAACTCCAGACAAGGAAGTACCAAGAAGATTTAAGGCGTTATCTTACCAGAAAGATTGGATTTGAGGCTGTAATGAGAATTAGGTGCACCAGAGGTAAGCTTTTGTTGATGGAGCATTTATAATATGGTGCACCTAAACATAAGCTGTAAGTCGTGGAGTAATAAGAATAATGTGCACAATACATAAGTTTTAGATGAGTAAAAATGAGATTAAGTTGAACAAGAGGTTTTATGCTTCAGTTGAAGCATTATCTATATGATAATGTATATTTTTTTCTTATTAAGTGATAAAGTAACAAGAATACATTTGTAGGGTTCACATTATTTTTTGGATTCCTGGAAAATTGTTAAAAGCTCCTAGAAGATTACTTGCAATCATCTGTGTTTTGCTTGGCCTGGTCTTGCAACAGCAGGCATAACTTTAGCCCTTAAATGTTTCAAGAGGGAAACGTTCATCAATTTTTAAGTGTTACCCTAGTTATATTCAATATAATGTCGTATGAGACAATTTTTGGGATAGTTGTTTCATGAATTCCTCTGTAGTATTATTTATTTTACCGCAAAATCTTCTGCCTTAGACAGTTCAAGGTTTCATTGTATGTTAGAGGTAAAATATAATTACGAGGTGTGAAGTTGCAAAATGCATTTGAAATACAAATATAATAAAGGGATATTTCAAAATAAGCTACAAGTAATTTTGTGTGAATTACAAGATGAAATAATGAAAATGTATTTTAATCTTTAGGAATTATTTTAATCACCTCATCCTTACATCTTGCTGATCCTGCTGCTGCTATTGTCTATTGATGTCTTTATATCTTGCAGATCCTGCTGCTGCTATTGTCTATTGATGTCTTTACATCTTGCTGATCCTGCTGCTGCTGCTATTGTCTATTGATGTCTTTACATCTTGCTGATCCTGCTGCTGCT